GGAGTTCATTTGTGGAGTCAGGTGACCTTGGGCGGAAAGGGACTTCTACCATTCCCTGTGTGTCCTACATGAATTGCCTCATCTCCCCTATGAAATGGACATAATAATACTGCCAAGGAGTTACCATGTAGATTTAACTTGGTAAGCCAATTTATCACAGAGTCAAATAAACAACAGTGGGTCATTGTCAACTCCTATTAAATTTAGCATAATTTTATCTTCATGCCAATAACAAAGAGAGTGTTGAACATTAGAAATCTACTTTGGCTTAAAGTTATATAGTTGTTTTCAACTAGTTCATAGTACCCTCTGCTGTCATACTAGGTATTATTCCCTTTCAGAATTCCGTTGTATGTTTTAGTATCGTGGCATTGATTCTGTGTTGTAGAATTTAGCCAGCATTTAACATGTATTTTATGTCCACTTCAGTATCAGTGATACTATTAGTTTGAATGCTTATGTCCTTCCTTGTAATGAGCCTTTGCTATTTGTTTCTCCTTCAGTAGCATCTCTTCTCCTATGCTACATTTTCTTGGGTTGTTTTCATCAAAGAACTATGCTTTGATGAATACTACAAGCATGATCACAATACCCATATGGACTGACAAGGGTCCTTTTTATTGGGGATATATGGATGCTGGCAGATAGATAGCATTTGCCACTAGTTCACCACCTGTGAGCATTAAGAGAAGCAGGAGAGTCTGAAGAACTTGCATCCCGTAGGTGATGAGCAAAATCAAGAAGAATAAAGCCTGGCCAAGAGACAGAGTGAGTGTAGTCTGCTCCTTTAGTTCTCAGTTGTGTCATATATTATGTGAGGCACTACTGATACCAGAAATCATTCTTCACCCTGTACTTTCTTTCTGACATGTTTCACAATCTGGATTCTTATTCCAAAAACATCAGAAACTTCTCCAGCTTCCTAATTAGGCAAACAGACTACATTACACAATTATCATCCCTTAGTCTCAACACAGGGAAGATTTCCTTTCCTAGAACCCTGTGTATCTTGTCTGTACCTGTAATATAATTTTTGAAACTGCCTTGTATTACCTATGTAATCTACTTGTCTGTTCCTTCATTTCTCCAAGGTAAAGACATTTCCTATAAGCCTAAATTTCTAGGATGTTACATTGTACATTCTCTCATAAAATTCTTGTTGAATAAGTAAACAACTGTATGAAAGAATAGGCTATATGAAAGAATGACTAACAATATGCTCTCTCCTGCAAAGAAACTCATCTAGCTGGAAAGAAAAACAACTATCCAGTTAATTCTGATTCAATGTGTACAAGAGACTGGGAGACAAAACAGCAAGAGCAGATCTGCTTTTTTTTTTTTTTCTTTTTTCACTTATGCCTCATTTTGATGATGCCTGCTCTATTGTTGGTATGCTAAAGTATTTTTGAAATTCACTGCTGAGTTATTAGTGAACAAAAGCTTGGCTTCTCCTAAGAAAGCACACCTTAAGCAAATCTATTAATGCATAAGATTTGAAAAAAAAAAAAAAGACCAATTACCCAAAACCTATATATTGATAATCTCCTGACACAGACTCTCCCCAAGACTAACTGGGAAAATAAGGTTTTAGCTTATTACAAAGTTTATTTTAGTGATAGCAAGAGAAAATACACTGCATCAAATGACTATGTAAATTTCAAAGACAGCTGTGGTTAGGAAACTTTCCAAACACCAGGATAGTCTTAGAGTCATAAGATAGTCTTAGACTACTTTAATGCAGTATTAGACTTTATATTTTCAGGTCATTTTTTTCTTTTTCTTTTTTTTTTTTTTTGCATTTGATCTTTGCCTTGTTTGCTCTGGCACACAGATAATAAAAATTTGTTATTAAGTGCCAATGTAGAACTGTTCCCAATCAGGGCTATTGCCACTTTGAGTCCTCCCTTTCAGAACTTCTTTGTATTCACTAGAAGTTCATACTACAAAACACGGTCCTTTATAAGCAGGCTCCCATGCTTACCTCCTCACTCCCTTTAGAAGCTCATGTCTGCTCTTGTATTGGACAAATATGGAGAGTGAGGGAGGTAGTATTCCCGAATATCTGGAAAGATGAGCACTTTTGTTGGCCTCAGATACATTGAGTGGTAAGCATTTGTTCTGTTTGGACTGGTATATATAAAATACTGGTAACTGGATAGCATATTAACAGTGCACATTTATTCAATTTTATATTTTTAATTCTGAAGGCTGAGAAGTCCAAGATCATGTCACTGGCAGCTTTTGTGCCTGATGAAACCACCAACATCTTTGTGTGATGATTGACAGAATGGGACCCAGAAGTTATTTTGTAGTCTGTAAACTATTTCATGAGGGCCACACACTAAAGATCTAATCAACTCTAGAGGAATTTTAATCCAGGAACGTGGCTACTCTGGAAAGGGATCACATCCAAAAGACTTAGGTCTGTGTGATCCCGCCAGAATGCAGACACACCCTTAGTACACACCTTTAATCTCTCTGGCTGGAATACACACCCTTAATCCCTCTGGTTGAAAATATAGTACATATCTTTAATCCCAAACAATAACATTTAATTGAGGGGCAGACAAAGTGATGAGTCAGAAAAAGATTTGGCAGAATGACTCAGAGATAGGATATACCCAGCTCTCATGAGAGAGAGGGTACTGAAGAGCAGTGCAGAGAATTCATGGAGACAGAACAGTAGAGCTTGTGGAGACACTACAGTAGAGTTCAGGAGTACAGTCATCTACCTCTGTTCTAGGAAGCCATGAATGTTTGGCTAGAGAGAAGAAGGAGAGTCATAAAAAACCATGAAGAGACATTAGAGTGAACACATTCCTTGTGTACTGAGCACTAGAAGGAACACCTTCCACATATAATTATAACCATCTTATATAAAATCTGAGTTTTGTTTTTTTGCTTTGCTTTTAGACAGAGTCTCACTCTGTTGTGTTGGCTGGCCTGGAACTCAAAGAGATCTATCTGCCTCTTCTTTCTGTTGTTAGGATTAAAGACATGGACCATCTCACCTGACCAACTCTGGGAAGTTTTGCCAGCCCTTAACTTTGTCTTATTCTCACATAGACAATTCTGCTTAATTACATGCCATAGGAAAGAAGACAAGAGTTAAATTTAAGCTTGTTTGATTCTGTTTTCTGACTTTAAATGTCACATAGTTTGATAAACAACTTTTGAGATCCAGCTTCAGTGTCCCATCTGAGTCTTATTTTCTTCTCTGATCAGTCTTGCCTTTAACCACCATTATGTCCTCCATAAACTGTGTTTCTGGATTCTTTGCTGACAGGCATTTTGTTAACAGATTCATACGCGATGTATATATCTGCGTATATCTCTGTTACTCTAAGATAAAAAAATCCTAACAGGTGTCATCTTTAACTCACACTAGCCTCGAGCTTTCCTCGAACAGGGGACTAGTTAGGCGTGGTAGGATGCAGAATCTTGTGGTAAACTAACACATAATAGCTTGGAGCTGAAGATGTTAATTTGCTTTGTTTGCCCAAGAAAGAATGAGGTGGCATTCTTCAAATTCATTTTTCAACTATTAGAGGTTAATTCTAATAAATTAAATTTTAAGGTTCATTCTTCTTTTATGATGAGAAGATTTGGAAACATCCCTTGATAAAATATTTTAGCCTGACCATAGTTGGCTGGAAATATGTTTGGGTTGTCCCACACTATGATTCTTGGCCAGTCCCCATGATGCTTGCTTTACTGTTTTCTCAACTTCACTTATTTATATTCCTTCCATATCCATGCCCCTAACATTGCTAATCTCCCTTCTTAATTCTCTTAATTTCTGTATATCTGCATATTAGACACCACTTAAAAAAGAATTTTTAAGACATAGATAAAGGTCACGAGTCAAATTCAAAGCTGCCAAGACGATGTCAGTATAATACGAATAATAATCGAATGTTTATTTAGCTCTATTGTATTGACTTTAGTTATGCTAGTTAAGAAGAGCGAGAGATCAACAGTAGTGTGCCTAATTATTGTACAAATACGGAAGTCCGTCCTAGGGGTGTACCACAAATTACATTCCTCTTTTCTCACGTCCAACAAACACAGCTTGGCTACTTCTAACCATAACAGATGCATAGTGCTGTCACACACATCTCATTTCATACAAGTAAGAGGTTTTAAGTAAGCATCAATACAATACTACCTGTGGTAATTACAATTCATAAAAAAGTCTCTATTGATCACAAATGTTCAGTGCTTAGAATAGGAGTTGGGGTAAAATTTACCTTTTTGTTGTGTGCTGTTTATACAAAGATTTGCTGGGAAAATATACTAACTAAATTGTTTGTAGAAGAATTGCCTACTTGACAATTTTTAGAGCCATGAATCCATAGCATTGTAAGTGCACTGTAAGCAAAAGTTAGGTAATGCTTAGGTAGGTATTTTGACGCAATAAGTACAAATCATCTTTATTTGTTCTTTGAGGCCAGATTTTTGGACAGTGCCTCTTTATTGTAATTCAGGTTGCGATATTTATTTGAAAAATGATAAACTATTGTTGCTGTGAGATCCATTGTTTCATTCCCATGTTTTATCATCTCAGACAGCTCTCCTTTCCATCAGCTTGCATATGGCTTCATTTAGTGGAGTAAGTGCAAAAGGAGAGGTCACAGTTAGGAATAAATCCCAGTTAGACCTTTAAAGTTCCATACACACATCTATTTCATTTCTTTAAAAATGCTTTATAATATCAGGGTCAGCAGCATGTCAATAAACGATCAAGTTTGATGAATAGCAGGGTAATTAGCCTTGAGCAATAAACAGTACCAAGTTAATTCAATTTGGCTCGATCTAGTAACAGACAAAAGTCATTGTAGATAGTTTCGTTACTCTGTTTCTTTAGGAATTTTTCCAATATCTCAAGGCGTGGAGATAACTGTCTTACCACCATTCATCAGAGAGAAAATATGCTTTAATGATCCAGAAAGTATCCCCTGGCAGCTGAAATTTAAAAATAATGTAAAACAATGCCCTACCTGGGTCACTTTCTCTGTCACATTGTGTGTCCGTTCTTTAACCTTGGGAGCAATGATAGTTTTATCAGAAGAAGGAGGAGATGTATTCTTTTTTTCAGTTTTGACATCTGAAAAATTCAGAGTGAGCTGAGGAATCTTGTTAATGGTGCTGTATTTGTTGAGGTTTGAATCCGACGTGGATCCCAGCAGGCTTGACTTGATATGATTAAAAGGCCCTAGAGAAATTGACAAGTATTTGTAAAAATGGTATCAGAAGAAATAGAAAAATAAAATAAAAACGATGGTCTTGAATGCCTTGCTAATGATCCATGACCAGTGTGATTCCCATTTCTAAATGCAGTCTGTTTATAGGCGAACATCTTTTGCCACACAGAAGGACACGTGAGAATTAGAGGGAAATTTTTGGTTCTATAAGTGCATATGTCAGCCTTTGCTGTGAACTGGCTTCTTTTAGTTAAGGCTAGGAAAATTAAAAATGAAGCCAAAGCAAACCAACAAAAAGCCCTGTATGTCCTGTTCTATTAGCTGCATTCCACCTTAGGTGCTTCCCATGGAGTTTGTTTCCCATTCTGAGGGTGACTTAAGGAAGCCAGGTTGAAATTCATGTTGGTCTTGAAATTGTGACTGTTTGGTTCGCACAGCTCTGGTTTCTGTTACACTCTTTCACATGTCCCTGAGAAGTGACAAGCCAGTTGCTTTCTTTAGGTTTTCTACTGTCTATATGAAACGGTTCACAGAGTTTCTACAAGATTTATACCCAGATGAGGTTGAAGATAACAAAGTGTCATATGTGTGCATGTGTGTGTATGTGTGTGTTTGTGTGTGTGCATGTGTGTGTGTGTATGTGTGTATGTGAGTGTATATGTGTGTGAGTTTGTGTGTGTGTGTTTGTGAGAGTGTGTTTTTGTGTGAGAGAGAGTGTGTGTTTTTATTTGTGTGTGTATGAGTGTAGGTGTCTGTGAGTGTGTGTGTGAGTGTGTGGGGAGTGTGCATGAATGTGTTTGTGAGCATGTGTGTATGTATGTATTGTGTATGTGCACGCACACACCTGCCCTTCGCACTCTGTTGAAACCTTCAGGATTCACTTTGGGATCTTGGAATCTCTTTTCATTTCATGTTCAGTTAATTTTTTTAAATTAAAAAATTCTGTAACCAGAATACACAAGAACGCTGCTATGGCAAATACAGCTTAAATAGACAAGACCATAGTTGGGGAACAGAGCATGCCTAGGTTAGAAACTCCCAATCTCTGTCAACATTCTGCTCTTACAAACACAAGTGGGAAGAAGCCAAGCTTCCTGGCTCCCTTGTTGAAGGTGAGGACCCTAAGCAATGCCATATTCTCCTGGGATGGATCTATTATCTCCAATTTATGGTTTCGAGAAATGGTCTGGACTTCTCATGTGCTGGCTTCATTGCTTACTCCGTGTTATCACTTTAACACTTAGCATCATGAAGAATTGTTTAAGATTTCTCAGAGCACGGGACTTAACCAGAATATTTTTGACTGAGAGAGCAGGGTCAGAAGATTCCCTTACTCTGCTCCACCAGTTCATGCCTCCGATTAGTGCTGCCTGAAGCAAACAGGTTGCAGGGATTTTAAGGGTTAGAAACAAGTGATCCTAGGTATCTTCTCTTGGACAGGGCAGGCATTTCTGGTGTCCACTCTATTATATTGAGATTGAAATGCCTGCTCAGGCCAGAGAAGGCTACATTGTGTCTCAAAAGGAAAAAAAAAATAATTGATTCTTAGACTGTGTTTTGGGTTCAAATAACTCAATCACCTCGGGCTAACATAATGTTAAGAACACTACTCACCATTTCAACTATCCAGTTATTATTAATAGAAACATATTAATTTTGTTACAGAAGTTTATATTATTTACGTTACAGAGTTGGAAGTGACTAAAAATGTCTATCCTTAACAAACATTGCCTTTCTTGGGGTTGCACTTTTCACTGCCATGCTGAGGACCTAGCCCGTTTATGCACAGAGTGCCCTCGTGCATGTACTCATTTACATAAAGATACTCTCTTCTAGTTATATAATCGGATTGAAATAGGATGCAAAGTGACATCAAATTATTCAAATATTCTAACAGAAACATTACTTCTGAAATGTTATTTTTCATGTCCTTGTCAAAGTCTCCAAAATGTTCTTATTTTTATGATTTTTCAGATGGGTCTTTTCCTATTTTGTACATTCTTTGCCTACATTTTAGGCACATTTGTTAAAGTTTGTCTTCCTCCTAACTGTAATGCTATATTTTCTTCCCTGGACAATTTATTGGTACCTAGGGGTAAGAATAAGAGACACAGATGGTGAAATTTAGGCAAACAGTGAAATTGTATTGGAATCATTAAAGTCCAGCTTCTCTATGTTGTATTCCTGTAAAAAATTGTCTACATAGCTGATTTAGGATGTTACTATGCAGGCAAAATATGTTAGTATAATTTTATTACCCTATGTCTAGTTCTGGCTAGTCCATATTATTAACTATAGTTATGTTCACGGGTTCTGAAATAGTGCCAAAAAGGGACATTTATCAGGGTGCCTTTTGGATGTCATAATGATGGAAAATTCGAGTACCACAACTCTTAGTCTCATTTTGACAACTCGTTGCCTGTGTTCCAAGGGGCACGCATATAGTCAAAATGCTTGTAATGATATGAATCTCTAATGTGTTCTCAATAAAGCAGACATCATACTTTGCAGGGTTGCATAATACTACATTTTCAGGGCTATATCTACGATGAACATGGGTGCTTATACACTTCATGTTTTCAACACGAGGAAGGGCTTTAATGCCCTCACCTAATTGTATTAGAGCATGTCACTATTTTGAAAAATTATGTTATCTAGAATTGCAACTTTTGTAGCATTTGAGTGCGCAACACAAAACCTCAGAGCTCTGGTGACAGTTTGTGTCTGCACCTTCCACAAGTAAGTGTGTAAAATAAGGAACTTGAATCTTTCTTAATAACTGGGAGAAATTATTATATTATCCAGGTAGCTACAGGAATTACACTAAGGTTCTAAACAAAATGCCTTTTGAAATATTTTACATCATTATCTATTTCTCAATGTCAAATGTCATGTGCCCACATGAAAGGACACCCACACTCTACACGCTAAACTTGTGGCATGGTTTTCAGAGTCAGTTTGCTAACACTCTAGAGATTTTCACTGTAGTGCTCTGGTAGACATTTCTACCAACTATCATCTTTATTTATTTATTTATTTATTTATTTATTTATTTATTTATATATCTATTTATTTGTAATTTTTAACTAATTACATGTGTGTAATTGTGTGTATAACGTTTCTACCAACTATTATCTTTATTTATTTATTTGTAATTTTTAACTAATTACGTGTGTGTAATTGTGTATGACATTTCTACCAACTCGTACTCTTTATTTATTTATTTATTTATTATTGTAAAATAATTACGTGTGGTCAGCACTCTTGTGCAGTAAGCTCTTTTACCTGCAGATCCATCTTGCCAGTACAGCTTCTTATTCTTCACAAGGCATGTGGTGTGCAGGATAGTTTTCAACATGAAGATAAGGGATACCTTAACATTTAGTGATGTGTCTATCTTCTGTACAATCCATTATTACATTTTTTTTCATGTAGTGAAGCAATTTGAAAGAATGCTTAATGGGAAGGACAGCTCTCTCGTAAGAATACCACACTTCCTAAGCTCCCCCTCTTGGTTTATTATTATTTTCAGTATTTAACACATTTAGAATTTTTGTTAAATCCCCATCTCTTATCATTGATTATGACTGCTCCACCAACTGTACTATTTTTATATGGGATATTTAATAATTTCCCTAGTTTCTTGAAAGCCAACTTTCTGTACTGAGATGTCCTCAGTATATTTATAGTCAAACACAAGCATAGTAATACATGTATTATTTGATTATCAATGGCTTTGCTTTTGTGAATACTTTATATTAAAATTAGAGGATCTTGATATTATTTTAGAAATGGTTAACTATCTCTGAATTCCATTTCAGGAAAATCTAGTGTGTAAAACACAGTACTTACTGAGAAAATGATATCTTCTCTGCTAGAGTTGAGCAACTCTTTGATAAAGTGTCTTAACTTGCCCTTAACTTGCAACCTCTACAGTCCTTGTTTTAGCTTCTCTCATTTAATACTGAAAAACAACAATAATAATAACAACAAAAAACAAACTCCTACACAGTCATTTCAGTTTATTTGTTTTGGACTTTTAGTGTGAAAGACTTAATAAAAACTTTCTTTTGAATAAATGTATTTAATGAGTTCAGCCTAACAGCTTATTTTAAATCATTTATGCACCCTACTTAGATACTGCGTTTCAAGCTTATTTTCTCCTGTACAAAGTGCAGTGTCTTCTTTCTCTGGACTTCAAGTCAAATATTTACACTTAGAAGTCTTTTAGATTCTGCAAAAATATCATAGTTTTCATAGATTTCTCCGGTCTATTCAAATTTCAACAGAATAAATGCCCGGTGCTTTAAGGCAGGAATTAATAATACTCCTTTTCAACAATTCTATGCTAAGCTGATAGGACTTGAGGCCAAAGGGTATAAGTCAAAGACCAGAAATCAAAACACAAGGTTTCCTACCTCCTAGGTCTACATTCAGAGAGGCCTTGCTGAGGGCTGAGGTGACAGGTACCCTCACTGACAATGATCATGAACAGATGGGATTTGGGATTCTAATGAAAGAAAGGAGATTAGCCTGAAAAACAAAGTAAATGAATTTAAAGAGAAGGAGCAGGCAGAAATGAAGAGTCACAATAGATTCAGTGGAAGGGAATAAAAGAATCAAAAAATGTACCAGGAGACAGACTTCCTTTGAGGGAGAGTTACAAAAGGCATAACACCGTGAGTATACAGCCTGTGATTAGAGGATGGAAAGAGGGTGATCAGGTGGGCTACACCAACAGTCAGGGAAATTTCAGTACAAGTGTCTGATGAAATTATAAAATAACCTATGTTTTTTTTTCCAACTATGCACAGAGATTCAGCAGTAACTAAGAAGTTTAAAAGTGTTTAGGAATCTATATAAGTAATGAGACTATTTACATTTATCCGGAGTAAGAAAATGCTTTTTATTATTGTTGTTGTTTGTGGTGGTGGTGGTGGTATGTGCCTATGTCATATGTATCTATGGGCAGGAATGTCAAGGCACATGCATCTGGACATCATAGGACAATTTCACGGACATCACGGAATTGGTTCTCTCTTTACGAGGCTTAACATGGTTTCTTGGAATCAAACTTTGGTTGCCAGGTGTGCCTTCTCAGGCAGCAAGGGCCTTCACCTTGCTGTCTTGTTGCAACTGTATCTATTGCTTAGGACATTGAGTTTATTTTGCTAAATTTAATGAAGTGGATTACTAAGGCATATTAACATTAGAGAAAATGCCAAGGTAGCATTAGCAATGAAGCTTTGCCAAAGAACTCAGTGAATAAGCGGCATCCAGAAATCGTTGTAGCTCTCAGGAAAAGACGTAAGAGGTACTCATCAAGTTATTTGGATTCAGTAGCTACAAATTCTTTTTCACTGTGTGACATATAATTTGGCAAAGGAAACTGTCACCACTGAGAATCAGTTTGCAAATCCTAATAAGGTCATAGGCTTCTGGGTAATGGCCAGTACAGAGGATGATGAACAAGTCTGTCAGTTCTTTCTTTCTTTCTTTCTTTCTTTCTTTCTTTCTTTCTTTCTTTC